GACGGCTGGAAACATACCATCAGCTGTAACGTTCACGTTGTGGGGGCGTCATAGACGGCTGGAAACATACCATCAGCTGTAACGTTCACGTTGTGGGGGCGTCATAGACGGCTGGAAACATACCATCAGCTGTAACGTTCACGTTGTGGGGGCCCACGTCTCCGGTTGTAGTTCTGCTCTCGTTGGGAAGTACACACCTTGACCAGGATGTTCCAAATCTTGGGTTCCAAGTTTGCTGTCTTTTGTCCCGGCTTGGTGGTGGGTCGGATGAGTTGACCTCTCGGGTGGTAGTTTGGTGACCTCTGGTTCAGATGTTGTCAGGTCTTGTTGTACTTACTGACCGTTTACTTACTGGGTGGTTGGCGGGTGCTCTGGTGTGGTTTGCTCCTTCTTTCCTATCAGACATCTGTCATCCTTATCTCTCCTTCTTCTTTTTAATGTTTGTTACTCTCTTGTAACACCTCTAATCTTCTGGCGCTCATATGACCTTATGCAGTTGAGAGCGCCCTAAAACCTCTAGTAAAACTTAACTATGATCGTTTACTTATGTTTATCTGTGGTTCTTTACACCTTTGAGAAATGTAGATCAATGAAGGACTTACGCTTTTGTACGTTCTCAGATGGCTGCTCTCTGTGCTCGGCTCTTGCCTGTATATAGAATGTGGTCCCAGAAAGTTGAGCTTGTTTCAGAATGCTCTCAGGTCTGCTGGGGTAATTGTATCGATTGTGAATCGCATAGAGCTTGCTGTTGAGAGGGGATTTGCGTTATACGAATGCTATCTATTATGATTATGATTATGATGATGATTATTGTATGGTACGGTGTTATAGTATACGGTGCGCCACGTATTCTTAAGGCCGCTAACGTCCCTGGTACTCTTCAACTACAGTTCTTATTTGGCCACCTCTTGGGATTTTTTCCCCTTTTAGCTTTCATAGGATGACGGTCCTAGTGATGTGTTCATGTGTCCTCCACACAGAGATGACGGTCCTAGTGATGTGTTCATGTGTCCTCCACACAGAAATGACGGTCCTAGTGATGTGTTCATGTGTCCTCCACACAGAGATGACGGTCCTAGTGATGTGTTCATGTGTCCTCCACACAGAAATGACGGTCCTAGTGATGTGTTCATGTGTCCTCCACACAGAGATGACGGTCCTAGTGATGTGTTCATGTGTCCTCCACACAGAGATGACGGTCCTAGTGATGTGTTCATGTGTCCTCCACACAGAAATGACGGTCCTAGTGATGTGTTCATGTGTCCTCCACACAGAGATGACGGTCCTAGTGATGTGTTCATGTGTCCTCCACACAGAAATGACGGT